ATTTGTTTATTTAACTTATATATATATATAGTTATTTTTTTAATTTTTGTTATAGTTTTATTTTATTTTCTCAAACAAAACATGTTCACTAATTGAGTTTGTTTGTTTAGGGTGTTTTGTTGTTCTATAGTTTCAGTATTTTCCACCTACTGCCTAAAATGAAATGTCCTACTAACCTAAAAGTTTATCAAAGAAACAAAAGACTAGTGTATATGGACTGTTTCATATAAAGTGATATTGTTCATGAAAAAATATATAAATATGCATAAATCTTATATCATCATGTACAAAACAATATTCTCTTTCATGCTAGCTTGGTGTCAAAAACAAATAACGAAATCGAACAATTTTATTTTTTGCCAAACTAATTTATATCATTAAAAATTATTTTGCAAGTAATTTTTATTCTGAATGATAAGACACTATCATGCCAAAAACTATATAAAGTAACAAATATATATATATTTTTTGTCTCTCTGATAAAAATTTAATTTTTAATGAATTTTTAACATAAAATACATAGAGTGACCTTGAGTGACTACAGTTTGGATCAGTGTTTTTAAGGGTAAAGTAAAACTGACCATGTCATAGTAAAAGGGTTCAAATAAATCACACAGTACCGTCCTCTTCAAAATCCTTCAAATCTGGACCAATGTATTGAAATGCAGGTTTTCTTCCTCTTAATTCAGTAACGTAAACTTTTTGAATAAGTCCAAGACTTGATAAAATATTTGCTATATCGTAGAGTCTTCTAACTTTTGCTATAACAAAAGATTACAAATATCTGTCATTAGTAACTTAAGACAAATAAGAGATAAGATAGATCTTAAAGTTAAATTATGAATCAATACATAATACAAGTGTTATCAAATATATCAATAATACTTAATTTCTCATGTAGTAATTAAATAAAACACTTATACAGTAATATCAATTCAAGAAATACAGACATTGGGACTTCCATCACAATCAAGCTTTAAAAAAAGTCTTATATTTTTATAATTTTTATATTTAATTATTTAGATTAGATATAAATTAAGTTTGTAATTTGAACATTAGTAAATCAGCAAGAAAAGTATATATATAATTTCCTTGCTGATTTACTAATGTTATAATATATAGTTGAAAAAAAAAATAATCAGGGTTATGCAGGTAAGGAAATCCATAATTGGCTGAAGAGTGTTTAGAGATGTAATGGACATTTTCAAGGAGAAACTGAAATTGCAGGTAAGTTGAGAAGTGGCTGTCTGTCAAATCAGTCACAGATGAGAGTCAATGTGCTACTTGAGTCAAGGAGCAAATACATCATAATCCATGATGTTGCTGATGAATTAAATGTGTCATTGTTCTGCACAAGCAATCATTTCTGATTCAGATTATTAAAAATTTTGTGCTAAGTAGGTTCTCAAGCAGCTAACAGTTGACAATTGGAGGATGCAGGCAGAGATGTGCAAAAACTCCTTGAATGTGTATGAAAAGGAAGAACAAGACTTCTTCAAAAATGTGATTACTGGAGATGAGACATGGGCACACCAGTATGACTCAGTACGGTTCAATCCAAGTAATGGTACCATAGTGGTTCTCCATGTCCTAAAAAACTCAAAATCTGCCTGATCAGTGATGATATCATGAGATGATAATATTGTTTTCAGACAAGCAGGACATTATTCTCATTTAAGTTTATGGATTGACATCACACAATCAACAGTGAAACCTACATTACTGTATTTAAGAAGTTGAAGGGGGTCATCAGAAAGGAGAAATCGATCATTCCTTACAGCTCCATCACAATAATGCAAGACAAGTCATTCACAACCCAGGCAACTGCCAAAATGAGATGATCCAGAATATCTCATCCACTGTACTGTCTAATTTGGCACCTTCAGATTTCTACTTGTTTGGACCAACAAAGGAAAGCCTACAAGATCACAGATTTGAAGACATGGAAGAAGTTAAACCAGCTGTAAAGTCATTGGTAAGGAAACAAACTCCAGGACTTTTTCCAAACTGGATTTGATACTTGGGTTCAATGATGGCATAAACATAATGATGACTATGTTGAACAGTAGCTTTGTGTAGTGGAGACTTCATTCAGGCTATAATATATGTTACTTTCACTTTGATCTGTTTGTTAATAAAATTGTGATGACTAAGGAGTCATTACTTTTTTTAGTTTTTGATCTCCACATACCTTTATCTTGTAAACATTTATAAAATTAACTCAGAAAATTATTTAACTTAAATTTCTATTGTTTATTATTATTACATTTAAACTCTGTTTTATTGTTGTGATAAAATATTTTGAAAAATTTTAATTTAATCATATTTATGATAAATCCAATTCCAAATTTCAAAATTTGAGGCAGATAGCTTTTGGATATAGCTTCAAATGATTTTGACACCATATGTTAATGCTCTTTGAAATATTTTAATAATTCTATTCAGTGCCAAAAAATGTTATTTTCCCTTAAAATAACTAACAAAATCTAGTTATAGTTCCAAAATGTGGTCATATCTGTATGTGGTCTACATTTGCACCAATGTTGAATTGCAAAGAGCTTCTCCCATTATAAAAGTATCACCATTACATTTTCAATCATGGAACATTCTTTGATTTTACTTGATTGCATTTTGGTCATATTGAGAAAACAGTTTTATGCATGTTGATGATCTTAAATCCATCTGATTACAAACAGTTTTCCTAAAACAAATGCAACAGTCTTCAAAATGGGGACAGATGTAAAGATATGTCACTGGAAGATGTGAAACTGCTTGGGATACTGGCTCATAAGATATACACTTTGAATTCCAGCCATTTACAAGGACAATTAGTCAAAAAAGATGTAACAGGTACTATGACACAGGATTAGCAAAATTATCAAGTGGATATTGGCTTGCATAAGAGGAAAATTTTGGTAAATAGTAAAATCTTCAGAAATCAGTTGTATTAGAACCTCTAAAACAGAAATGTTTTCCAAGGAGGGTAACAACATTACAAGTCTAAATGGGCAGAAAACAATGAAGTTAAAAAAAATTAATTTCTCAACAAACAAGGAATGGAGATGGCTATTACTTGTTTTCTGAGAAATTCTCTCTCTAGAAGAAAATGGAAAATCTCTTTGATGTTGGTAAATTGCACAAGGATGAAAATGCTTTTATTTTTTTTTTTTTAGTTTTATGGATTAAAACTTAAAGCAATGTACAGAATCCTAAAGGCAATTCAGTCTTTGGCTTCTTTTATACAACAGAATTCAAGTTTTCAATAAAAATTTATTTTCTTTCAATACTTCAAAGATGCAACATTGTTTGAAGGATAGTGATCTATTTCAGTTTTTTTAAAACAAAAAGTGGGTGACTTGTTCATTTTCTTAAAGTTACATTTATAGAGTGCAAGTGCAATTTTGCAATACTATTTATAATTAATTATTATTACTGCCAAATCAGGCATTTTGAACTTTATTAGAGTTCCAAAAGTCATTACATATGGACTAAAGAAACAAAACTTATTACCTGAAACAAACTTATCCATTTAAGAAAAAACCATAGTGCCATAATTTTACTGACTAATAGCACAAAACATTAGGAAAAACAGTAAAAAAATAAAGAAATATATTGCTTTACAGTGAAGTAACTTTTTCTGTTTCCTGTAAAAAAACTTACACAAATTTTTGGAAATGGGCAACTCATAACACCATGTAAAATTAACTATAATTAACCAAGTGACAAGCTTTGTATTTTCTAATTAATTGCAACTGATTACAATAGCAAAACACATTTGGCTGATATGAATCAAATAGGAACATACAAATACTTCATATTCTAATTCATTATATTCAGATATAAAATACATAAATTATTTGATTTTAAATAATATTTAGCTAATTTAATATTATTTCACTTATTATATCTTTAAACAAAATGTTTATAAGATGTTATTAGAGAAAATTTACTTACTTTTAAATTTTATTGATTCATCTCCATTTAGAATTTCTGAATTAGAATTTCCAATCAATACTTTAGCTGCTAAATCCAAATTTAAAACCTTTGGCTAAAAAAAAAGTTTCATTAAATAGCATACTACAAAAAATGTTCAATATAATTTTTATACTTACTGCAGTAGTAAGGAACAACATGAGAAATTTCAGGCTCATTAATCCAAGTGATTTTTCTTTCCTTCCATCTGTTATGAAATGCTTGTTAGAATTTTCACAATCTCTTTTTGGACTGAAAGACATACATTGTGCTTCAGCACTTGTTCCATCAGAACTGATTCCTTCTAATGATTTCATAACTTCAATATCTTTCATTGCATGAATTTGTTCAGCCACATTTTCTTTTTTTGCTGAAGCCTAAAAAATTTATTAAAAAATCATCATATAACAAATGTTTTTCTATGAAAATTTTAAATTCTTAAACACAGCCAGTCATTTTAAAAATATTCTACAGTCAATTTAAAAAGTTTAGAATAACACCATGAATTATCAACCTTTTAATAAAAATAACTAAATGAAATAAAAATTAATGAAAAAATTAAATAAGGGAATAGTTAGCTTGGTCTTTTAGCTATTATTTTCATATAAAAAAAATCTCTAAATGAATTGTTAAAAAGTGAACTTTTTACTTAAGTAAATGTTCAAAAAATTTACAGTCGACTCCCTATAACATGCGTTCCTATAACGGAAATTCCTATAACGTAGCGAAAAAATTGTACCAACATTCGTATAAAAGAGCTCCTAAAACATCGTCGCCAACTCGTTTCGCGACAAGATTGATAGAATCTGAACCAATGGTGGATGAGCAGCCGAACTACTTTCCTCCGCCCTGCGCCACANGTTCCAGTCTCCTTATGCAATGAACTTCACTCTGTCATCATGGCTTGGTGGCAATCTGACTGGGAAAACAGCCCCACCGGACGCAACACCTTTCAATTTATCCCAGATGTCATCAGGAGGCCTCACCACCTGAAGCATCTGAGCATGACTCATGTTCTTACTCAAATCCTAACAGGGCATGGTAACTTCAAAAGTTATTTACACAGGTTCCTTAACAAAGGAAATGGACTATGTGACTATAACATTCAAGAAAAGGACGACTCTTTTCACCTCATCTTTACCTGCACGAAACTTACTCAACACCGTCAACCGCTACTGCGCAAGGTAACTGACAAGGGGCACCATTAGCCCTGTCCCCTCAATGCCCTCATTGAAGACATGGACACCTACCGGACTTTTGTGCAGTACATTAACAACCTGAGGTTAGTGGACTACCATATTCCAATCAATGGACAGATTACCTCACCAATATCACCCGCGCCCAGTAATCAAGACTCATCGATCTCGTCTGAAATCCGTCCACATCATCACCACATACGATCTACCTACTCTTCGCTGTGCCAATCCTGGCTCTCCTTTCTCAGCATACAGGTTCTCTGCTTTGTCTCGCATGTAAGCCTCATAAGGCACCCCCTATCTCATCTGTCCAATCAAATTGTATATAATCTACCTTGTTAATTGTATATTATTTTATTTTAAGCTGTTCATTAATTAGTTCCTGGCAGGTGCCCATGGATCCCTCCTTTCCTTTATCTCTTTTCCTCTCCCCACTCCCTACACACTTACCCCCTTACAAATATATACAATGTAATGTAAGCAAGAAAAAAAAACAAGTGTAATATAAAATACATAATTAAAGTTTTGATATATAGGTACATGAAATACGGAATTGCAAATACAAATAAGCGTGAATGTGTAAAATTAACGTACAATATCAAGAGGAATTAAGTGATTAAAGTAACACAACATAATAAAGAAAAGTAATGATGTTTCAACATTGCAAAAGACAGATGTAGGTGAATGGCCTGCAGGCATGTGAGGCAGATGTAAGCAGTGACAGTGGTACGACCAAAGTAGTTGTTTATGAGCACAAGAAAAGCAAGGTAAGAGTCTTGGTGGTTGAATAAGCTGTAGCAGTCTCTAGGCCAGCTGTACCCATGTGCTTCAATGATGGACTTTAAATAGTGCCTCTCCAGTTCCAGCATGGGACAGTCGAAGATGTAATAGTACTAATGACAGCATGCAGATTGCTGTCACTAGTACCACAGAGGGAGCAGTTAGAGCTAGGGGCGTTGACAAATCTAGCCAAGTATGACTGAAATCTACCATGGCCAGTGAGAAACTGGCTGTTGTGGCAACCTGGAATGTACCATTTATTAAGGAGAAAACTCTCAATGTTTGGGATGAATCTGTGTGTAACTAGGTGGTTATGATTGTCCCATTCCTGTTGCCAAGTCACAAGAAGGTCCTTCCATAGTAGGTTTTTGACAGTGTTGCTGTTAATTTTATTATAGGCGACTGGAAGGTTAGAGTCATCACTAGCAGATTTGGCCAAGGCATCAGCACACTCGTTACCAAGCGTGCCCTGGTGAGCACGCGTCCAGTAGATGAAGAAAAGATAGGTTAACAGAAGAACCCTCCGAGCGAACTCCACCAGGAAGAATTCTACAGATTAGGAGCGACGGAGCATACACCGTAACCGGATTTAGCCGAACGGCCTGAGAAGGACATCGCTCCACATAGCCTTCAAAGTGCACCTCGAATTTAGAAGACGACGATCCCAGTGAGTCCTACCAACGCCCTATATGGAAAGATCGCATCCTACGAGGTAAACCCTTGCCATAATTATCTCTCTCTCTCCAACGTGAGGTCTTTATCTTGATCTTTAGCATTTGGACAGGTTAGGATAGAATATAGTATATCTATTCATATCTTGATACACGTGTGTTGTATTTTTCTTATCTTTATGTATAATTATTTTATTTGTTTAGTAAATGTGTTATTTATTTAAACCTGTGTAGTCAATTGGACATCTGGTCACGACTTCCGATTCCTCCCCACTCATATCTTTAGTCCTCCTATAGCCACTCTCTGACAGCCAAGCCGGTAAGTGGGGAGAAGCTCTCGCTCTACCCCCTCGGTTCGCACACTTGTATCAAAAAATTGATACGGACTACTTTGCAGAGAATTTTCTCACCTTTAAGTTTGTATATAACCTTCATTGCCGTAAAATCAATAGCAACAGAGATATCTACAAAAAAACTCATTTTAAACCTGCTGAAAGTACCTCTTTAGCACTAAAATACGATGGGGACTTTTGAATTTTATTTAGTGTTTAGTAAATATTTCTTTTAGTATTTAGTTTGACTAAATTTAATGATATACAAAAATTCAGCTTGCTTAAAATTTTTCTGCAGAAATGACCTTTTCTTGTCTAAAGTGACTGGACTATGAAGTTTAATACCACTTTAAAATGATAGAATTCACAAAACAATTTAAAATGAAATTATTGTATTTTGACAATCAACAACAACAAAATTTAGTTTTTAGTAAAACTTCATATAAATGTGTTTCTTATAAAATCAAATGAAATAAAACATTTAACCCTTTTACTACGAAGTGACCACTTATTAACAGTTTGGCATATGAAATGACGGCATTTGTCATTTTAAAAAATGTTTAATTTTAATCAAAAATTCTCTGCATCATTTTACTTGCATTTGGTAATATTTTATTGGTGCTCACTGCCCTATAAGTTAAATAAACAAATAAATAACTATATATATATATATATAGTTATTTATTTGTTTATTTAACTAACTTATATATATATATAGTTATTTTTTTAATTTTTGTTATAGTTTTATTTTATTTTCTCAAACAAAACATGTTCACTAATTGAGTTTGTTTGTTTAGGGTGTTTTGTTGTTCTATAGTTTCAGTATTTTCCACCTACTGCCTAAAATGAAATGTCCTACTAACCTAAAAGTTTATCAAAGAAACAAAAGACTAGTGTATATGGACTGTTTCATATAAAGTGATATTGTTCATGAAAAAATATATAAATATGCATAAATCTTATATCATCATGTACAAAACAATATTCTCTTTCATGCTAGCTTGGTGTCAAAAACAAATAACGAAATCGAACAATTTTATTTTTTGCCAAACTAATTTATATCATTAAAAATTATTTTGCAAGTAATTTTTATTCTGAATGATAAGACACTATCATGCCAAAAACTATATAAAGTAACAAATATATATATATTTTTTGTCTCTCTGATAAAAATTTAATTTTTAATGAATTTTTAACATAAAATACATAGAGTGACCTTGAGTGACTACAGTTTGGATCAGTGTTTTTAAGGGTAAAGTAAAACTGACCATGTCATAGTAAAAGGGTTCAAATAAATCACACAGTACCGTCCTCTTCAAAATCCTTCAAATCTGGACCAATGTATTGAAATGCAGGTTTTCTTCCTCTTAATTCAGTAACGTAAACTTTTTGAATAAGTCCAAGACTTGATAAAATATTTGCTATATCGTAGAGTCTTCTAACTTTTGCTATAACAAAAGATTACAAATATCTGTCATTAGTAACTTAAGACAAATAAGAGATAAGATAGATCTTAAAGTTAAATTATGAATCAATACATAATACAAGTGTTATCAAATATATCAATAATACTTAATTTCTCATGTAGTAATTAAATAAAACACTTATACAGTAATATCAATTCAAGAAATACAGACATTGGGACTTCCATCACAATCAAGCTTTAAAAAAAGTCTTATATTTTTATAATTTTTATATTTAATTATTTAGATTAGATATAAATTAAGTTTGTAATTTGAACATTAGTAAATCAGCAAGAAAAGTATATATATAATTTCCTTGCTGATTTACTAATGTTATAATATATAGTTGAAAAAAAAAATAATCAGGGTTATGCAGGTAAGGAAATCCATAATTGGCTGAAGAGTGTTTAGAGATGTAATGGACATTTTCAAGGAGAAACTGAAATTGCAGGTAAGTTGAGAAGTGGCTGTCTGTCAAATCAGTCACAGATGAGAGTCAATGTACTACTTGAGTCAAGGAGCAAATACATCATAATCCATGATGTTGCTGATGAATTAAATGTGTCATTGTTCTGCACAAGCAATCATTTCTGATTCAGATTATTAAAAATTTTGTGCTAAGTAGGTTCTCAAGCAGCTAACAGTTGACAATTGGAGGATGCAGGCAGAGATGTGCAAAAACTCCTTGAATGTGTATGAAAAGGAAGAACAAGACTTCTTCAAAAATGTGATTACTGGAGATGAGACATGGGCACACCAGTATGACTCAGTACGGTTCAATCCAAGTAATGGTACCATAGTGGTTCTCCATGTCCTAAAAAACTCAAAATCTGCCTGATCAGTGATGATATCATGAGATGATAATATTGTTTTCAGACAAGCAGGACATTATTCTCATTTAAGTTTATGGATTGACATCACACAATCAACAGTGAAACCTACATTACTGTATTTAAGAAGTTGAAGGGGGTCATCAGAAAGGAGAAATCGATCATTCCTTACAGCTCCATCACAATAATGCAAGACAAGTCATTCACAACCCAGGCAACTGCCAAAATGAGATGATCCAGAATATCTCATCCACTGTACTGTCTAATTTGGCACCTTCAGATTTCTACTTGTTTGGACCAACAAAGGAAAGCCTACAAGATCACAGATTTGAAGACATGGAAGAAGTTAAACCAGCTGTAAAGTCATTGGTAAGGAAACAAACTCCAGGACTTTTTCCAAACTGGATTTGATACTTGGGTTCAATGATGGCATAAACATAATGATGACTATGTTGAACAGTAGCTTTGTGTAGTGGAGACTTCATTCAGGCTATAATATATGTTACTTTCACTTTGATCTGTTTGTTAATAAAATTGTGATGACTAAGGAGTCATTACTTTTTTTAGTTTTTGATCTCCACATACCTTTATCTTGTAAACATTTATAAAATTAACTCAGAAAATTATTTAACTTAAATTTCTATTGTTTATTATTATTACATTTAAACTCTGTTTTATTGTTGTGATAAAATATTTTGAAAAATTTTAATTTAATCATATTTATGATAAATCCATTTCCAAATTTCAAAATTTGAGGCAGATAGCTTTTGGATATAGCTTCAAATGATTTTGACACCATATGTTAATGCTCTTTGAAATATTTTAATAATTCTATTCAGTGCCAAAAAATGTTATTTTCCCTTAAAATAACTAACAAAATCTAGTTATAGTTCCAAAATGTGGTCATATCTGTATGTGGTCTACATTTGCACCAATGTTGAATTGCAAAGAGCTTCTCCCATTATAAAAGTATCACCATTACATTTTCAATCATGGAACATTCTTTGATTTTACTTGATTGCATTTTGGTCATATTGAGAAAACAGTTTTATGCATGTTGATGATCTTAAATCCATCTGATTACAAACAGTTTTCCTAAAACAAATGCAACAGTCTTCAAAATGGGGACAGATGTAATATGTCACTGGAAGATGTGAAACTGCTTGGGATACTGGCTCATAAGATATACACTTTGAATTCCAGCCATTTACAAGGACAATTAGTCAAAAAAGATGTAACAGGTACTATGACACAGGATTAGCAAAATTATCAAGTGGATATTGGCTTGCATAAGAGGAAAATTTTGGTAAATAGTAAAATCTTCAGAAATCAGTTGTATTAGAACCTCTAAAACAGAAATGTTTTCCAAGGAGGGTAACAACATTACAAGTCTAAATGGGCAGAAAACAATGAAGTTAAAAAAAATTAATTTCTCAACAAACAAGGAATGGAGATGGCTATTACTTGTTTTCTGAGAAATTCTCTCTCTAGAAGAAAATGGAAAATCTCTTTGATGTTGGTAAATTGCACAAGGATGAAAATGCTTTTATTTTTTATTTTTAGTTTTATGGATTAAAACTTAAAGCAATGTACAGAATCCTAAAGGCAATTCAGTCTTTGGCTTCTTTTATACAACAGAATTCAAGTTTTCAATAAAAATTTATTTTCTTTCAATACTTCAAAGATGCAACATTGTTTGAAGGATAGTGATCTATTTCAGTTTTTTTAAAACAAAAAGTGGGTGACTTGTTCATTTTCTTAAAGTTACATTTATAGAGTGCAAGTGCAATTTTGCAATACTATTTATAATTAATTATTATTACTGCCAAATCAGGCATTTTGAACTTTATTAGAGTTCCAAAAGTCATTACATATGGACTAAAGAAACAAAACTTATTACCTGAAACAAACTTATCCATTTAAGAAAAAACCATAGTGCCATAATTTTACTGACTAATAGCACAAAACATTAGGAAAAACAGTAAAAAAATAAAGAAATATATTGCTTTACAGTGAAGTCACTTTTTCTGTTTCCTGTAAAAAAACTTACACAAATTTTTGGAAATGGGCAACTCATAACACCATGTAAAATTAACTATAATTAACCAAGTGACAAGCTTTGTATTTTCTAATTAATTGCAACTGATTACAATAGCAAAACACATTTGGCTGATATGAATCAAATAGGAACATACAAATACTTCATATTCTAATTCATTATATTCAGATATAAAATACATAAATTATTTGATTTTAAATAATATTTAGCTAATTTAATATTATTTCACTTATTATATCTTTAAACAAAATGTTTATAAGATGTTATTAGAGAAAATTTACTTACTTTTAAATTTTATTGATTCATCTCCATTTAGAATTTCTGAATTAGAATTTCCAATCAATACTTTAGCTGCTAAATCCAAATTTAAAACCTTTGGCTAAAAAAAAAGTTTCATTAAATAGCATACTACAAAAAATGTTCAATATAATTTTTATACTTACTGCAGTAGTAAGGAACAACATGAGAAATTTCAGGCTCATTAATCCAAGTGATTTTTCTTTCCTTCCATCTGTTATGAAATGCTTGTTAGAATTTTCACAATCTCTTTTTGGACTGAAAGACATACATTGTGCTTCAGCACTTGTTCCATCAGAACTGATTCCTTCTAATGATTTCATAACTTCAATATCTTTCATAGCATGAATTTGTTCAGCCACATTTTCTTTTTTTGCTGAAGCCTAAAAAATTTATTAAAAAATCATCATATAACAAATGTTTTTCTATGAAAATTTTAAATTCTTAAACACAGCCAGTCATTTTAAAAATATTCTACAGTCAATTTAAAAAGTTTAGAATAACACCATGAATTATCAACCTTTTAATAAAAATAACTAAATGAAATAAAAATTAATGAAAAAATTAAATAAGGGAATAGTTAGCTTGGTCTTTTAGCTATTATTTTCATATAAAAAAAATCTCTAAATGAATTGTTAAAAAGTGAACTTTTTACTTAAGTAAATGTTCAAAAAATTTACAGTCGACTCCCTATAACATGCGTTCCTATAACGGAAATTCCTATAACGTAGCGAAAAAATTGTACCAACATTCGTATAAAAGAGCTCCTAAAACATCGTCGCCAACTCGTTTCGCGACAAGATTGATAGAATCTGAACCAATGGTGGATGAGCAGCCGAACTACTTTCCTCCGACCCTGCGCCACGCTACGGAGCGGCTAAATTGAGTTTGCTATCGTCTGTTTAGTATTATATATAAATTATATATAAATTAGGTACTGTACATATAATTATATATTAATTATATATAAATTAGGTACTGTATATATAATTATATATTAACTTAATTTATTGTAACTTTATTATAATTATATATATGCTTTCTGCCGCCTGGCAACACGCTACGGAGATTTTAGGCTAGTAAGTTGAGTTTATTATCGTCTGTACAGTATGTAAATTAGGTACCGTAAGTCTAATACAGCACTAATTTTATACATTTCTTGTGAAAGAAACACTTCTTATTCAACGGCCATAAAAATTATTTATATTAATGATGTCTCCAAAGGTCAAGTTATTTTTCTGCGAAAAATTCGTTATCAGAAATCGCGGCCGCCGTTTCGTGTGCTGTTCCGCGACGAAAACAAGCTTTGAGCAACGGCGATGTCGAATGGTGCAAGTAAGTAATCCTATAATTTGCTAATTTGTAAGTAACTTGGTAAGTAATCCTATAATTTTTTGTTTATAGCATAGTTTATACAGATTATTCCGAAAAAATTATACATGTTTTGGAAATGTTGAGTGGAATTAGTCTAGAATCGGTTAATTTTATAGAAGAAAACCTTTCAAACAGCCTTAGTCCGTAAACTTCACACCTATCGGGCTGTGATTGGCTCATGTATTTAATCATTCCTACAACGTAAAATTCGATTAACGTGGAACGTATCTAAGCGTTATAGGGGGTCTACTGTATTAATTTATTTCATATTATCCAATTATAAATGATAGTGTATGTAACTTACTGCATTTATGTAAATTGAAACAATATAATTTGCATATACACTGCTGGCCTTTAAAATTGCTACATCAAGAAGGAAAGCAAATAGTAGAAACATTTTAAATAAAAAAATAGTAAAAAGACATGGCCAGCGATAATTACATTTAATAAAATTATAAAAAATACGACATTTTCACAAAGGTGAGAACCTTGTTTCTGTCAGTCTTTCCGCCGTTTCATTTCTACACCATCAACGATCCTTAAGACAATTCACAAAAATTTTCGGGGACGACGGGAAGTTTTTTATAATTTTAGTAGAAACATGTTTATTTTACACATAGTTTAATGAGAGGTACACGTGATTAAATAGCATGTAATCTTGATGTACAGAGCACCCAGCATGTTGTACCTTTCATGCAAATTTGCATTTGTTGTGTAATGACTTCATGGTGTAGCAACTTTCATGGCCAGCAGTGTAGTATTGTATAAATTATACTCCAGCAATGGTCACAAAAGCAGGACAAACACTATGGGCAATAAACTACAATTAAGCCTGGATCAAAGAGCCAAAATTATCACTTTACACAAAGAAAATTTAACCCCTTACTTTTTCATTATTTCATCTAGTTATTGTCATTCAAAGGTTGACACTTTGTGATGGAGTTAAATTATTCTAGACTTTTTGAACTGATTTTATAAACATTTATCATCCTTTCTGATCACAAAATTATATAAAAGTTTATTTTACTACATATTTATTAATTGAAACATTTTTAAAATGTTATTTAATTATTCTATTACCTTACTATCAACATAAAATCATAGATAAAGTCAAGCAGTAGCTACTTATACTTAAATTAATGATTAAATTTATCCATAATTTTAACATTAATGAATCTAGATTACTCTCATCTGTGAATTTTATTTCTCTAATCTATAAAGCAAACAATTTACTTAAAGAAGAACAATTAAATATGCCTCTTAAATGACCAAAAAATTAATTTATTCCATTATTTGATACCTACAGTAGCACGGACAAACCCCTTCAGTTCTGTTTTTATACTCAAATTACGTTCAGAAAAAAGGTTTTTTAAATTTTTTATAATAAATCTTCATGAAAAGGCGAATCTGATATCAGTAAAAATGTGCATGTAAAAATTGCCACGAAAAAATACCCCCCATAAGGTGTTTTTATAGAAAAACTGCTAAAAAAATATTAAATAATTTAAAATAAATGTTTCTAGTTATTGAATATAGCTTCAGAGGAACTTTATTTGTATTATTTTTTCATTTGACACCACCCGCAAGGAGACTTGAGACACATGCAGTCTAGTGTTTACATGCTGACCTTGAGAACAGATGTTGGTCAAAGTTTGCAGACAGTTCACATCAATGCCTCGAGGGAAGTCAGAGTTTTAGCAGGGTGTGTACTAATTACCACATATTCAAATATAACAGAAAATTTTCGATTTTTTGTGCTATTATCATATGTGAGAATCAAAAAACATTAATGAAATTTATTGGATATTAAAAAATTTGAGGTCAAAAAACATCCAATATAGTATGTAAATAAATTTTACCCGAGTATTTTGCATGTACTATACTTTTTTGTGTGGTGTTCTTTGAAACATATCTACCATGCAGAATGGATAGGTGTAATCAGTGTATTGTATATAATCCCTTAATAATTTCTCTTAGATTTTCCCCATGCTTTATTTTTTGCTTATAACTTTATTTTCATTCATAAAAATTTGTATCTATTTCTATGTACAAAAAAATTTTAGATCAACTTGTAAAACACTGATATATGATAAGGAAAAGTATGCGTTGACACAAGATTTATTGTGCATATCATATCAGTATATATATTAATACATTAAGCAAGAACTCCAGGAATTTTTCATGGATGATCTGTGCCGAATATGTCAGGTGCACAAATTGTGGGCTCAGTAAGAGAGTCTCTTAGCACAGAGAGAAGAGAAAATGGAAGAAAAATTAAATATATTTTAAATTTTAATATATTAAATTTAATAAATACCTGTAATTTACGCAATGTGTTCAAAAGTAAACACTTTCCAAACCATCGGTACTTATTCTTCCCAATTTTTGTTAGTAATTCTAAGCTCTCTAACACATTTACAATATCATAAATTCGCCGCCTTTCAACACCTAAAAAAAACATTAAAATAATTAATAATGCAATCTTTAAAACATACCATAAAAAAGGTACAATCATTATTGAATAATTATTATGCTGGCTTTGGTGGAATATTCTACATGATATATACACTGATGCCTAGCACTATGCTGGACCTGGACTATAACTACAGAAAAAGCAGTTATTATGTTTACGTGTTCTTCGTTTACATATTTGTATTTAAAAATTTTCTGATTATGTGATATTTTGCATTCCCAGCTCTTATATATAACACAAGAAAAGTATGGAGATTGGTCAAAAAATTATCTCCCAACATTTTTAATTTTTGGACTTGGGACCTTGAAACATTGAGAAATGCAAAACTGGTTTCCCCCTGTATGTTTAATTGTTAGTGTGAGTGGCACAATTTTGTTCACCCTCTGAAGCTAAATTTCTCTGCTTTTTGTCAAAAATTTCAGAAACTTTGCAGGGAGATTTGTGTATTGGGGAATTGATTCTATTAAATTTTGGTGTTAAAGGTCAATGGGATGGGGAGGTCATGTGTCATCTCAAGCAGGATTAGATATGACAACGATTTTACTTATTAGCATTTATGATTTTTTTTTATAAAACCCATCCCTACCCTCAAAATTAAGCTTCTTGCCATTTTATAATAATTGGAAATATAAAATTTTTTAAAACAACATAACAGATGGTACCACAATTTTAAATATTGCCAGGAAAATTAAGCAATTTGTTGGATTTTTTTTACCATGGCATTTTTCTGTAGCATGACATAAATGCTTTTGTTAAAGCCTAATGTTTTGAGACTCTTGTTAGCGTATGTGGTACTGCTATGACTCCTATGTAAGAAAAAACCATTGACACAGTAAGTACAGTACATCATCTATTTTCCACAGATGCATCATATATATTGTCTATATGATTTACATATTAAGTACAATGTCATGTACAGTAAAATTCATGTAAACCTGAATTGTTTTCATTTTGGCAGCTTCTATTTTAAACAAATTTTAGTATATTTCTTTATTTTTAAAATATTTACACTACACCAGATAAATGTTGCTCAGTTATTCATTTTATAGTAAAAGCACTATAACATATTTAAAGAAATGTTATTACAAAATTTAATTCTAAATGATTTCAACTAAAAAGGGAACTATTTGATTATAAAAAGTTCTTATCACTATAAAAAAACTTGTGCTAGATATTCAAATACTTCTCAGATGTGTTCCTTGCAAGTTAAACATGGCAGTGAACAAACCAATTCAAGTACCAAAAACTAGTTGTCTCACTTTGCTATCAGAAATTTAATTGAAATACAATAATACAGAGACTAAGGCTGGATGGCAAAGCAGTTAAGGTCAGCCTACTTGCTCTGAGAATCTGGGAACAAATCTGAACACATCAAAAAACCCCAAGAATTTTTTGGGGAATGGTCCATCCAAGATATATCAGGCTCAGTCCCTATCACCCAACTGTCCTATTGTGGTCTTAGAAGAACCTGTGATGGACTTGATTAAACAATCCTTTTGGTGCCCACATGGCAGAAAGACTTACTTGAAAAAGTTATTTATATATATAAACAACTTTTTCAAGTAACACTGAAACCAAAAGTTATTGTGATATGACTTCAAGGAATTTTAATACTCTAATCATTTACTTCCTAAGATATTGTCATTCCAACTGCAATCTATGTCTGTGAAACATGGAAAGAGAGAAAAATTACTCAAAAATTCAACATAATCCATCAACACTGTCTTCAAAGGATACTTAGTACATATTGTGACCATATCACAAATGAAGAAATTCTCAGAAGTGGCCTGCACAAGCTACAGGACATTGTTAGAGGTAGAATGAATTTTGCAGAGCATGTACTTCAACTGCTGGAGGAATGCTTACCAAAAGTAGCCGTGCAATGGAAAAAGGAAACAAGGTAGACCATGAACAACCTGGCTCTACATATAAGATTAGCATTCCATGGGATGATGCTGAGACCATTGCAGCTGACCACATTCACTGGAGACAGCTGGTTGCCCAGTGAGCCACTTGGCACAGGAAGACAGAAGACCTAAGAATCATTTACTTCAATCTCTAATTATCAACATGCTAATCAACTTAATATCAAATATTAATACTAATTAGTTACTAACTATTCGTGCAAAGCAAATTAACAATACTTATACTATTCTCCTTGTTTTCACTAATTGCATTTGTTGTTTGCTATCAAGAATGCTATTCTTAAGTTTTTGGTGTTTAAGTATATTTGATTCTGCCCTTTATTACTATTTGATGATGTTGGAATTAACCAAGATAATATGTCAGTATTATGTCTCATGTGACCTTCATTTCTCTGACAAGATTCAAGACTGTTCTTGAAATAGTTTGTCATATTGTTATGTATGATTATAAACCTAAACGTTTGAATAAACAAAGTATTTTCAAAATCACTGCAACTTAAATGGCTTTATGACTACAGCCTTACATAAAATGTCTATTTTGATGATTTCTCTTTTCTATTTTGAATAACAATTTCATACACATTCTTGAAATCTTAATTTTTTTATAATTATCATCACTTATTGCCATTTAGTAGTAAAAAGTTGTTAAAAATTCAGTACTGAACAGATGCATCTATTGTTCCTAGTTCTGGGAGTATTTCTGTAATGCAAGTATTAAATATTTCTGCAGAAGTTAGTATCATTTCACAACCCATAGTTTGAGAAACGCCGATATAAAATACTGACAGTAACTGAAGTATTTTAACAAAATTTTGCATTTTTATCATTTTTTGTTTTCAAAGATATCTTATAATCTATATTATGTAATCTTATAAACTCAGTATAATATAAAGTTATATTGACCTCAGTCACTGACTTGAAATGTTCTAGTAAAAATAGACTTATTATAGAAAATGAAATATATTTGTCATGTTATCAATGCACTATTAGCAGAAACATCTGAAATCACAAAAAAGTCAAATATTTTAGATCCTGCAAGATGTGTTTAGTTCAACCCTCATAAATTACAGTCAATGAACATTGAATTCTACAAGTAGATATGCTTAATTTTTTTTCTTAATTTTCTCATTTTTAATAATAGCATTTATTGTGTTACTATAGTAAATATTTTTTTTTAGATTTTTACATTATTATAAATGGAAATAATCTGAATTTTAACTCTTAATTTTTATCTGTTTTGAAACCGTGTCTTATCTTTGTTTAATAAATGCAATGTAGCATAATAATGATCACTGGATCCCAATACCAAATCCCGTGTACATGTGAAAATAAATTTTACATAGGAGAAACCAAGAGAAAGATGAGGATTAGATTAAAAAGACATGTAGCAGATTTAAAACATTGTAGAATTAATTCAGCTTTTCTTGAACATTGTATGTTGAATAATTGCAATATTGACCAGAATAATGTAAAGATCCTACATAAAGAAAAAGAAACTTATAGCAGAAAATTTAAAGAGTATAGAAATTTTTAAAAATAAACATTGTATAAATAAAAACTTAAGTTTAAAAATCAACAAGAATTGGCTAAAAATACTATATAAAAAAAATTTTAAAGGAAAAAATTTTAAGGAAAACAGCATTTTTAAAAAATTAAAAAGTTTTTAAAGATTTTTTGAAGAAAAATTTTTGGAAGAAATCTGAAAAATAGTTGAGAATTTTAACTTGCAATTTTTAAATAAGAACACATTGCTATGCAAACTACCATAAAGGAAAACGCCATAGATGCTGAGGGCTGAACAAATACGATTTATAAAAGTGAAGCTTAGTTGAGTTGTCGATGTAAGAACTATTACTAATATTAAATAAGGATGAAAAGTTCAGTCATATAGATGATGTGGGAAATGATACTGACATTAAAGAAGAAAGAACTGTGCTACATTGTCCATTCTAAGATCATCTTGATATCTCCAGGGACCTGTGAATATGTACATAATGAAAGATATTAAACTATATTATGAACCTAAGTAATAAATACATTAACTATATTAATTTTTATAAGACTTAATAGAAGTTGAGGAGTCTTCAAGATCCAAAGAAGCCTAACTGCAAAAGTCTGGGTCTTGTATGTACCAAGTAAGATTAAGGCTTTGGCCTGGTATTTGAAATGATCCAATATATATTGTATGATTCCTGCTTATAGTAATACACATCTAAAGATGAAATTTGTGATTTTAAAAAGATATGTTATGTGCTACTTACGAATTTAAAAAATTGTGAATTATACATGTCGGGTTATAGTGTATGTAAAATTGGTGTTATATGTTTTAGTTGACTGAAGAGGGGTGAAATGAAGCCCGAAACGTGTGTAAAAACGCGTATCAACAAATATTGAAATAAAAGAACGAATAGTGCCAAGTGATCGTTATTACGCTACATTGCATTTATAAAACAAATCTTAATTTTTAATAATGAATAAAAACAATATAGCAACAGAATTTTACTTATTACTTTACATATGAAAAATAACATGTGTATAAAGTTATAAAAATCTCTAAATTTGAAATATAAAGCAAAAACATGAAAAAATTTAAATACAATACAACAAAACTATACATAACTACAAAATCTTTTCCAACTGTCAATAAAATTATCATTAAATAATGGGCTCATCAGTACAATATGCAATTGTTGTGTATTAAAAATTAGTTTTCCTTGCAGGAATCTTAACACCTAAATATATTAATTTTGTTTAGTTATTTTTAATGTTAAAAGTACATCAAAATATTGAATTTGAGATTTAAGTTATTTTAAATTTTCCAAAAATAAAAAAAAAATCTGCAAAAAGCAAAATATCAAAACCTGACTTCAAGAGTACAAGCAGCTCTTGCCACACTCAAGAAACCCACCATTGACGTAGTAAAATTAATATTTTTATGCAAGCTACTAAACTGAACATGTCATGTCTTCAAACTAATTTGAAAACAATTATTTGATAACTTACATACACTTAGTTTTCATTGTGCTTTCTCCAATTATTTCCTTAGATAGATTTGCAGTATTTTCATAATGCACAATCTAGAAAAAACTGATATGTGATACAGTGATACAGTCAACATATACCTAATTTATATTATAATTCATTTCCTAAATCATATGCTAATTTTTTTGGCTATTTGTTAAATCTACTATACTATTTTAACATCAAATGTATTAAATGTTTTTAATAAACATCATTTTCAAGTATCTTTTTCAATAATACTATTTATTTTGATTATTATTTCTGTATAGCTACTTTGTCTAAATAAATTAGAAATTAATTGTTTATAGTATTAAAGTTTTCATTGAAATTCAACAGGATATCCTATTGATGTATTATCTCTATTTCCCTGTATCCTTTTTTCTTCACTTGATCTTTTCCCATTCTTGTCTAATGAATTACTAATAAAATCTTGAAAGGCTCTAAAATTTATTTATTTACAAAAGGAAAAGTCCATAGACAATTGATTTCTGCCCCCAAATAATAAACCCCAATAAAAAGTAAGCAGTAATCAATAACAAATAAAATGGAAACACAAAGAAATAAAAATTAAAATCACATATTACATAAAATTATTAAAGTTACTTGTGAATTGATAAAGCCTACCAGGGGCCCAGTAGGTCTTCTCATTCTTTTGATATCTTTCAGAGAAATAATTCAAAATTAGTTTGTAGAATACATTGGGACAGTTTTCTGTTAGACACTTTTCAATATACAATTCTACTTAGGCAATTATCTGGGAAAAGGACAAATTTATACAAAACTTCATTTTATGCAGTACTTGCCAATCTGTAACACCCACACAAAATAAGAGTACACTGTTAATACTATAATTCAACCAATATGATTAAAAGAAATCAATTATTGTAGAATTGTCATAATATACATAAACTTGCTTTCTCAAACCATTTCTTAAAATTATTTACTGATATGTTCTATGTTAAAATATACATTTGCTGAAATGTACAACTACTCTACTTTTTCAGTCTGTGCAATCATTTCAGGAATTCCCTACAATTAATGTCTATGCCAAACACACATTTTCACTTATCAAATTCTTAAGATCACACAAGATTTATGTATCAACATGTTTAATTTCTAGATTATTAAAAAAATGCATACTAAATCTACATTCCATTAGTTTTTCATTTTATTACAGATCAAATTATTGATTTCTGTGTGTACAGTACATGTATAAACTGAGTGTAAGCATGTATAATTGTATGTATATGTTTGTTTCAAAGTAAGATTATATTAATTGATATCATATTTTCTTGCCTTAACTGGATAACATTTAACTCATTTATGTTCAATAAATAATAAACTTTATTTCATTTAAATGCGAGAAAATCTAAAATTAAAAATAATCAAAAACTATAGTTTATAAGAATCACAATTCACAAACTTAAACAAAATTTTGGCATTAAAATTTGTCAAGTGCTCATTATTAAATAAGAATTCATCTATTCTCACCTAATTGTTTAGCTACATCATATATACCAACAATAATCCTATCTGTCGAGGAAGGATATTCTGGATATAAGGCAAGGAATCTGTAACATTAAAAAAATTATTACAATTTAAATTTTCCAAAATAAAGTTGAAAATAATGAGAGATTTTATTTTGAAATTAAAGTAGCAAAAATTAACATTTATAAAAAAAATTCCAAAAATAAATCTAATATAGTTTTATAGTTTATTACTTAATTAGAGCAGTAATAATAATAATCATAATCTTTATTTGTCGTAAAAGGCTTTCGCCTGTTACAAGGGCGTTTTGTTTTATAGAAACCCGTATTAATTTAACATCTCTTATAATCTTGTCTTATCAACACTATTTAAAATTACATTAATATTTTGTCACAGTTATCATTTAATAAATTGTTTAACATAGTTATATAACATATAAATCGTGTTAGTATTAGCTCTATCAAGAGTCTTATACATTTTCATCTAACTATTACAATTAGCCAGCGGTTTCATCTGGAGCCTTTGTAGTTTATCCTTTTCATTATAGCATTCACATATAATATGAACTCTAGATAATAATTAGAGCAGTAGTTCTAAGTAACAAACTTATAAGTCATTACATTAATATTGATTAAAAAAATTTTAATAATGATAATTCATTTTTTACTTGTCAAATAATTACAGTAGATCCCCCTATAAGACGGTAGATACGTTCCGTTCTTTATGAATCAATTTTGTAGGAATCACAGTTTACGGATTACGGCTGTTAGAAAGGTTTTCTTCCATAAAATTAATCGATTCTAGATTAATTCGACTCAACATTTCCAAAATACGTATATTTTTTTGGAAATAATCTGTATAAACTACGTTATAAACAAAAAATTGTAGGATTACTTACCGAGTGTGCACCGTTCGACTACGCCCATTGCTAAAGCTTGGTTTCGTCGCGGAACAGCGCATCAAACCGCGGCCGCGATTTCTGATATTATTTTTCTGCGAAAACTTCGTTGACCTTTGGAGACATCCTTAATATAAATAATTTTTATGGCCGTTAAATAAGAAATGTTTCTTTCACAAGAAATGTATAAAATTACAGTACTGGACAGACGATAGGTCGCCTAACTCGCCGTAGCGTGACGCTAGACGGCGAAAAATATATATTTAATTATAATAAAGTTACAATAAATTAAGTTAATATATAATTATATATATATAGTACCTAATTTATATATAATTATATGTACAGACAAAACTAAACTCAATTTACCCGCCTAAACATCCGTAGCGTGGCGCTACGGACGGCGGGAAAGTAGTTCAGCTGCCCGATGACGTTTTACGTAATTATAGGAGTTTTTTTACCGTTGTGTACTGATACCGCCACAATTTTTTCACCGTCTTATAGGAATCGTAACTATAGGAAACAGTTTTATAGGGGGATCTACTGTATAACTAAGCAAAATAAATTTGATCATCAAAACTGATACACAATTTTTCAAAAATAGAATTCTCTTAAATCAGATTAACTTCAGTTTTTCACTTTATTGAATCAAAACTAGAGTAAATTGGTGTGAATAAGCACTGACAAGAAATAGAAATAGCTTTTTATTAAATACATAAGAAATACAGATAAATATTAATAACCAGTAACTCACATCATTGTTTATTTCTTTCTAATGCATTCTACTTAGACAAAGTTAAAACATTGCATTTTTAATATACTGAAATTAACTTTTATTATTATGTATTATTGCAGTTAAGCAATCTTTCATTAATGAAGCAAATCATTTTCATTAATAAAATCAGTATTTTATGGAACAATGCTTATTCACAAATGTGATCAAAACATTAATATATATATATATATATATTTAATAATATTTAAGAGAATACTTTAAAAGAGAAAAGAAAAATAAACCCTTACTCATGCAAAATATTATTATTAAGGATAAATTAGTGTAATTTCTCAATAGGAATGTTTCAGTTTGAAAGTTTAAATTAATTTAAAAAAATAAAATTTGCCGTCAATTCTATAGAAATCATTGAAGTTAATATATTTTACATTTTAAAATTATTAATTAAANAGGTCTCAAAGTTTTAAAAAAAATTTAATTGAAACAGAAAAACAAACAATATTACTTACCGTTGACATATTAAGCCTAAAGACTTGTCCTTTCGCCTTGTCACATTCTTTGAGCCAGCAGCATTAAATATTAAAGAAAGATCAATATTTTCTTTATCTGAAGCATCAATGAGAGCTGAATTTTTATCATTCTAAAATATTAATAAATATTAAAAGTCTATCCTTTGTTTTTGTAATATGTACAGTGAATTCCCGTATAACGCATTTTACTATAAAACAGATTCATATAATTGGACAAGAAATTGCAATCAGTACTCATAGAAAAATTCTAATTTTGTCATCCAGAGGTATACATTTTCTTCAATTCCTAGGCTTAGGTTTAAACTTACATAAAATTGTCTGATAATGCATGTCTCGATAACATGATTTCATATAACGTGAAATGTATCCCCCGCGTTGTACGGGATTCCGCTGTAATTACTACTATAATAGTTTTCCCCCTATGCTTTTATTGTCTGCTATGCAATTTGTTGTTTATATCAAAATTTTTTCAACTATTTAAAACATTCTGTGCTCAAAGCTTAAAAAACAGAAAAAACTTGAACAACAAAAAAGTATGAGCAAAATCTTTATATGTTGGCTTATATTTTCAGATCAATTTGATTATCTATAGTCCAATGTATTAAAATGCACTCATTGCCATAAAAATTAGTGCATCAAGGAGGATATCTAAATGCAAAGTTTTACAGTGAAGTCTCAAGCCAATACGGAAATGATTAGTTATAGTGTAATGGTTCATTGCATAATGCCAGTACAGAGCATTAAATATATTATATTTTTTTAAATTAAACTTCATTAAACTTATGTAGAAATAATACTTTGCATTGGTCAGGTCATTTCTAAACAACAATACTTTGGATTCCATATTCATTTCTTTCTTTAATAATAGAATTTATCCATAAATGCTGTTTGGTCAAATTCCTTTTTTCTTAAGTTCACCACCAACAATACATAAAACACTTCCCAGTTAATAATGATTGTATTTTCTACCATGTCTGCCATGTTTGTCACTCAACCAGCAACTGTGCAAAATGGCTATCTAAGAAGTGATGCAAAAGACAGCTATGTGAAGTACTACTTCATGCCCAAATCACTTAGCATGATTTTGGTCTAATGATGTGTGTATATGTTACTGTAAATGCTCGAACTATGGTAAATCCTAAGATTTTCTAGTAAAATTTAATATTTACCAAATCATTGTGGTAAAAGTCCAAAATGTTCTGTGATCATTGTTAATTTCAAACTTTTACCAGCATTTACTCGGTATATCTTAGGTTTTATCTCAGAGACATGGTAAATGTTGAAAAAATAGTCTCCGATCCCGTACCGCTGCCTTCGCTCGCCGTATTCCATTGTTTGACACGTTAGAACGCACACATTAATTCTAATCTTGTTTGAGATTTCTTTGTCTGAAAGTTATTTTCGAATCAACATGAGTGTGAAATGGAGATTTTATGAAATAATGGATGAGCTCATTGCAAGCAAGAAAGATGATAACTTTTATCTCAATAGGGACAAATATGCAGTGTTTGGAGGAAGTAAAAGCTGCAAAGAACATGAAAAAGAAACAAGCTGTTCATTACAGGCGTATAAAGCGTTACATTTTGACTATAGGTGGCAAAGAAAAACTAATTGCGCCTACGAAGGAGGAGGATGGAGAAATAAGGTATTACATTTGTTACAAGGACTTATTCAACATTCTCGAAGAAACGCATGTTGCTGTTGGCCACAGTGGAAGGACACGGATGCTTAAGGAATGTAACCGCAAGTATAAAAATGTAACAGTTGAGGCTACTATGACATATTTGAAGCTTTATCAATCTTGCCAAAAGAAAGAGAAGACTTTGAAGAAGAGCATTGCCATCAGACCTATATTTCATAGTGAAATAAACTCACACTGTCAGGTTAGTCTAATAGATCTACAAACTACCCCAGATAGAAATTATAAATTTATTTTAGTTTACCAAAACTATTTTACTAAATTTGTGATCCTTTGTGTGCTTCAAACTTAACGCACTGTAGAATTTGCATACCATCTTTTGGATATTTTCACCACTTTTGGAGCGTCGAGCATCCTTCATTCCGATAATGACCATGAATTGTCTAACCAAGTTATTGAGAGTTTATGCTCCATGTGGCCGGATGTAAAAATCGTACATGGAAAGGCAAGACATAGCCAAAGTCAAAAATCAGTGGAGCGTGCTAATCAAGACAAAAAATATGTTGAGCACGTGGATGGAAACCAATCAGTTATCAAAGTGGTCAGAGAGTTAAAGATTCATCCAGACGATGAAAAATAGAGCATATCACGAGGGAATTAAATGTTCTCCCTACGAAGCAATGTTTGGTTGTCCAATGAAAATGGGCCTTGCAACTTCAGCAATCCCTGGTAATATGATTAGAGTTATAAGATCTAAAGAAGATTTAGAGAAGTTGTTGCATTTGCATGACAATATGGAACAAAATAATGACGTTGAGAATGCAATTGACCAGGACAAGGAAGAAAGCATTGTTGAAAATGAGTCAGAAGGGGATATAGACAATAGCACTCTCAATAATAAAACACAAGAAGATGAAATGATTATTACTGAGATGATGAAGGCAAAGCAAATAACCAATGATTCCAATGTAACGATTCAGAGACAGAAAACATGATTGAGTCTCAGGAAGTTCTTGTAACTATAGAGCCAATACCAAAAGAGATAGAATCTGTAGTGACTATAAGAACAACGCAAAATTGAATTTGGAAAAAAAGCTGAAAAAATAAAAGCCATGTCTGTTGATAAATGTCCAAATATGAAAATTGGCCAAAATGTAAGACTGAAAGTGCCTGAAATTGACAAAACTAAAACCAACCCGAAAAGCGTTATTGCAGTTGTAATAGATGTAAAGGACAACGAGTTTTACCAACTAGGTACCAAAATTGGAGTTCTAAAGCAGCTTTATACACAAAATTAATTTATCTCATGCCCGGAAGACTTTATCAAGATAGAAGAAGTTATTAAAGATAAAGAAGTGAGTCTTCGAGAAGTTGTCTTTGACCGGAGGACAAGGTTTCAAGAAATGCAAGTGCACTTCTTTGTTACGCATTTTTTCAAGCAGTTGCAAGTCATCAGGATTACTTTGTAACTCAAAATGCTATGATAGCTATCCATGTTGTAACAAGTAAAATCCTGTTTTTACTTTTATTAAATGACAATGAATACCAAATGATTAAAAAAAATACTGTGATTACTGATTACCTTAGCCAACGTAAGCTATTATATTATTTTTGACAAGATAATTTAATTTTTTGTTATGTTAAAAAAGTAGGTTTAAACTGTTTCACTAGTTATTTATAAATACCACTTAGTAAGTTGACTGTTTATAATAATTGCAATAAATGATTATTAAAATACTCATTGTTTTATTTTCAAAACCAACATTTACTAACAGTCTTTAGTAAAACCTAGCATGTACCAATTTCTAATGGTAAAAGCCCGGAAAATCATCTCACTTTATAAAAATCTTTACATTTACCAACTCATGTTGGTAAATGTAAAGATTTTTAAAGATGTAAGGACTGTACAGATTTAGAAGTAAAACCTAGGATTTACCAATATACGGGCTTTTACATATATATATAAAACATATATATGTTTTATATATATATATAAAAGCCCGTATATTGGTAAATCCTAGGTTTTACTTCTAAATCTGTACAGTCCTTACATCTTTAAAAATCTTTACATTTACCAACATGAGTTGGTAAATGTAAAGATTTTTATAAAGTGAGATGATTTTCCGGGCTTTTACCATTAGAAATTGGTACATGCTAGGTTTTACTAAAGACTGTTAGTAAATGTTGGTTTTGAAAATAAAACAATGAGTATTTTAATAATCATTTATTGCAATTATTATAAACAGTCAACTTACTAAGTGGTATTTATAAATAACTAGTGAAACAGTTTAAACCTACTTTTTTAACATAACAAAAAATTAAATTATCTTGTCAAAAATAATATAATAGCTTATGTTGGCTAAGGTAATCAGTAATCACAGTATTTTTTTTAATCATTTGGTATTCATTGTCATTTAATAAAAGTAAAAACAGGATTTTACTTGTTACAACATGGATAGCTATCATAGCATTTTGAGTTACAAAGTAATCNAATGCTCAGGTAAAAATAACAGCAGCAAAGACTATTATTATTAGATTATTTTGTACTTCTAATCCTATAACATAATATAGTATTATAGTATTTTATTTATATTTATAAAGGTTATCTTATGCAAGATTTTATACCAAGTGACCAATCTAACACATTTTAAAAATTCTTTAAATTATGTACATAGATAAATTTTTTAAATGTGTTAGATTGGTCACTCAGTATAATAAACCCTTACATAAAGAACCCTTCGTAGTTATATAAATCAAATACTATAATATAACAAACATTAAAACGAAAACCATATAAAAGAGTTTGGTTATTTCAGCCTACCATTGACATATTTATCACGATACTCAGATGGTATGAAATGGCACAATTTCATTGATCAAATAGACAATTGAAAATGTGATGTGATATCTTAAATTTAAGATATATTTTTTCCTGATGTTAACTCTAAGAAACTGTACCATTCACAGCCAAATATCAAATGGTTATCTGCCAACCAATCAAATTTCGCAAAAAAATGAAAAATATTATTCGCAAATATTATTAAAACTCTGAACCTTCAGAAACCACTTAAAACATTTTGTACTCGCAAGTAACCTCATATTATGTAATTTTCCTATTCGAATTCCACTATACTGATGATTTGATAGAAATTCAAGTCTGTTGCAGAAGGGAGTTAAAGTAATTCGACCAAAAGTAGTTGTCAACCTCCTCCTGGAAGAGAGGATGGTCAGTGACTGGTCTACTATTAATGTTTGAAAAGTGATCCATGTTGTATAGGTTGTGCACGATCAAAGTTGCTAACCTTAACATCCAAAAGACTTATATGACTTGTTTAATTAATTAAATAAAAAAAACTTATAAAAATGCAAGAATAATTGTTTTAATATGATAATAATGTGTTTAAATTTTGGCAACAGATTATACTTCTCACATAGTTTATACAGATAGATGAAAATCAAAACCATATGTGGAAAGATTAGACAGGAGGCCCAGATTAACTATATATGGTTTAGAATGAAGTCACATTATTTTGATTCAAAATTTCCCCCAAACAGTTAGATTAGATGACCAACACAACTCTATTGCTAACAGGAAAAGTATGACATACAGGGGCAAGACCACCACTAAAAGAATTGAGAACATTGTGATAATGTCACAATAAATAATTGCTTGTTAGAATTAGTTGGGTTTACTTGGTTATGGCAATACAAAATGTGAGCAATCTGCCAAGGGAAATGCATCCTGGGAAGACTTATGTAAAGCTGGACCTGGAAAATTCCATGTGGCCAGCCTGTTGGTCATGCCCAAACCCTCAACAAACTAACTACCAGTGTTATCCATTCAACTACTTGGACACTAAGAAAGTATCATTCAAAAATAAAAAAATCTGAATGGTAAGTGCTATATGCTACTTGTTGCAGTAATTAAGTAAATGAGTTTTTATATTTTTAAAATCATATCCTTTTATTGTAAGAAATATATTTCGTTTGATTTTGTTAAATTTTTTGCCAATAGATGGCATTACGTGTAAACCAGCAAATTGAATATAGTTAGAAATTGATTTACAGAAATTCAATAGATTACCTTATATATATATATATATATTTCATCAGTTTAATCATTCAGGAAAAATCATTTTATTTGTAAAAGATTAGTATATTGTATCAGTTGAAACCACACGGTATAGCAAGAAAATATATGAGGCGAGAGCAATCTTATGTTGCTATATTTTAGAGTTCTCAAATTAATCATCAATCCTTCTAAAATAATTTTCAATAGTTGTTGTCTACTGTTTTGACATTCAAACATGTTACCATCACCAGATAATCAGTGTTGCAAAGTTTACACATCCCCACTAAATTTAGAGGAAAATTGAAGCAACCATGGGATATTAGCAGTAGGTACAAAGAATTTTGAAATTTTGAAGATTAACTTTACATTTATGCAGTATTACCAGTATTTTATAACACTGTACTTTTTTTGCATAGCCTAATATAATGAGCCTAACAATCTTTAATAGTGTGCCAAATTCAGGCTTGATATCCTTCCACATTTAATGGGAAGATGTTCAAATTTGCTGGAAAATGGAGTTTAAAATAGTGGAAAGTTTGGCTACAGTTTGACAATAGTGACAGAAATAGTAATGCCAGAGTCTACTAGTCTTGGATTACTGGACTGTAGAATTAGCAAACGGGAAAATTAAAGATTTTACTGAATATGAAAAAAAATGTCCTCTTAGTGCCCACAGAATGGAAAAAGTAAAATGCTTCCCTTAACCAAATGTGTGTTAAATCAAATTTTTTTTTCTAATAGAAAATGTTAAAACAAAATTCTGAAATTTAAAATAAAAATTTACATAATTTTTGGGAAATATTTTTGGTTTAATTTTAAAAATATATTTGTAGAGAGAATCCAAATATTTCTAAAAAGTTATTTTTATGCATTTAAAAAAATTACCTCTACAGAGTTTCCATCAGCATAAGAGAGACTTGCTGCAACAGTTGTAAGCATTTTCCAATTTGAGCTAGGAGTTGATGGCTCACCCCTTTTCTGAAACTTTTTGGGTGTAGTTTGAACATCATGGTCTTCATTTTTTAATAATAGAGACCTTAAAATTGATTTATCCGCAACATTTAAGGAATTCATTTCCAGTTTTGATTCTGAGGTATCTTCATCTGAAACTTGACTATCCACTTTACTTATAATACAGTTTTCATAATTTAAATCTTCATAAAACCAACATTGGTTTCTATTTATATTATCTAAACATTGCCTTTTAGAATGATAGAATTCTAAATTACATCTATCTGAATCTGATAATGGTGATTTTTCCAAATACTGAATAAATTCCATTGAATTTAAATAGCATATCTGAAAAATTTAATTATATATTGTTATAAAATGCATAATTGAATTAACTAGATTTACTATTTTCAACAAACGATTAAATTATAAAATTAAATTTACAAGAAAAAATATGATTAATTCCATACATCAGTATCTAGGACTAATTTTCATTTTTTTTTTTAATAGATAAAATTAGTTCAATTCAACAAAATGCTATTCAAGAGCAAAAAAGTATGTTCAAATATAATTTATTCTAAAAAACAGCACATCAAACTTTTTAGTTTGCAACTGCATTGTTTATTAGAGAGCATCTATTATTTGTATTCTTTGGGAATTTGGGAAATAAATCCAGTAACTTTTTTCATTTCATTATTATTTGAATAATGCAACACTTAAGACATGCTATTTCAATATAAAGTTAAAATGCTAAACTAAAAAGTTAACTATGCTAAATATAAAGTTAAAATGCTAAGGTTTACTGTGAAAAATTGCACATTCTATTCAGAATGTGCAATTTTTCACAGTAAACCTTATTTTTCTCCAATACATAGGGTGCTTACTATTACAGGGCTGTTATACTAACAGTTTTCCTTGTAGCTGCACTCTATTAGAATTAAATATGGTACTTGGATTTATACTATTATCCTTAGTAGTCCAAACCTTAATGAGAGAACAAACAATTGAAGGAATTCAAGTTAAATGAAAATCTTTAAAAAAAATCAATTGACTAATTCATGTTTCGAATAATAAAAATCCAGTAATGAATTGATTAACTCCTCACCCTGTCAACCTTTAACCACCAAAATTTAATATTAATGCTTCTTGTACATAAGCTACCATGCCAAATTTCAGAAATTTTCAAAGCACAGGAGTTATTAAGCTTCAAAGAAAGTGAACAAAATCATGCCTCAAACACAATAGCATCCATACATATAAAAACCCCCAATTTTTTTTGTTTTGCATTTTGACATTTCAAGGTACTGACAAAAATATAAAAATCTGGGGTATCATTTTTTGAATGATTGCAATACTTTCCTCATGTTGTATATAACAGAGCCAGGAAAGTAAAAATAGGAAAGCACATTAGCAATCAGTTTGCTCTGTGATAAACTGGAAAGTGCACATGTATGTACATACACAATTCATAAAAAATGTCAATATTTTATAACATCTATTCATATGGAATTAAAATAATGTAAAGATAAATATTCCTGAACAGAATACACCCTGTTATATAGATAATCTATGAAATAATTGTAAACTGAATTAACTAAAACATGCTTAAAATAATTTTGTTTGAATTATCAAAATGCAATCTAAATTTTCTGCTTTCTTATTGCTTAGTAATTAAAGAAAAAAATATTACTATTTGTAGCAATATCACAAATGATTCAGAAAAAAGTAAATTATATTATTGATACAACTGAAATAATTGGTAACTTTCCAAAGAACCAATCAATATACACAACCACAAAAACAAATCTTATTTAATCCCTTATAATTGATACCTTTCATTTGTGGTTACTTTTAATACTGCATTTAATCTTTAATTTTCATATACATATAAACAGTTTAATTCCTTTACATATTTCATAATACAGTAATCTAAAAATAACTAAATTCTTAATATCAGGTTAACAACTAAAAAATAATCATATAGAAAGAATTTTTAACATCAAGAATTTAGATTAAAGAAATGTCTATAAAGAAAACTTCATTTTTTTGTGTGTAAGAATTTTTGTTGTATAATTAAAAGTTTGTCTGTTTTTGAATATATTCTTTTATATGAGTTAACTATATTTTGAAGACTTAAATTAACAATTTGAAACAAAAAGTATATACATCTGATTAAACAATTAATTAAAAAAAAACTTTTCTTTTTTAAAAAAGTTTATACATAGACAAGTATTTACATATGCAAGCATGAATGCATCATCAGCAAACAACTTGTACATGCATGATTTCCTTTCATAATTCTATTGTTAAATTTAGGTTAATTAAAATACAACTTTAATTTTTCTAATATGTTCTTACATGTAGATTCTATATAAAATTGGAAGTTAAATGTGAAAGCAGTGTTTCTGGCTTCTCAAGCAGTACACTATATTCAACATGGAAGTTCTCACACAAAATGCAAAGAAATGTTTACTTTTTTCTTTTACTTTTGAGCATTTTTTGATCTTTTCTAATCCGGCATATAATTGACCTTTATTTTTGTCTAAATTACATTTTATTATTTACTATCAGACACTAGTCTTTTCCCTAGGTAATAATATTCTTGTCAGTCTACCATTACAGAAGGCTAATTTAACTTTTTCAGGTTCAAAAAACTGAAAAGACTTGTAATCTGATTTCAGTTCCTTTGTTCTTAAAATTTGAAGGATAACATTATTTAAAATGGTTAGTCTATACTATCTAAACATATATATATATATATGTGTGTGTGTGTTCTACATTTAAAAATACAGTTTAGAATATATTTAGTAAATTTCTGATGATTGAATAGATTTGTTCCAATATTTTGCACTTTCAAAAAGTTCAATAAAATTATTCATCATCAAATATTAAATATTTTGTTCTCTGAATCAGCAAATAAATGCAATCACAAATCTAGATACTTTTATTTCTTTTTTCTTGACTTTCAGAAATATTTTGTAATACAATAGTACAAAACCATCTTTTCGTAAACCAGAATAAAATTCACAAAATTAGAATACAATTGTTTACAAACAGAAAAATTTATTAAAATGACATTTTCAATTATCAGAAAAATCACAGCTTTAATATTTAATAGTATAAAATCTATTATAAATAACAACAATCAAGTTTTTCAGATTCTGATGAGATCAATATTTGAAGAAGTAAAATTATTTTCGTTCTGATTATAAACTGAATAAGTGATTATTTACCTTAGACAATATAATTTACAGAACAATTTAAATATTTAATTATACAAATTTGTAAATATCTATTTATTTAACAATGAACATACAAAGATATTCTCTGAATTGTTAGATATCAAGAAGACAAGTTTCACACCAATAGTTTCAATTTAACCAAAATGTAATCAAACAAATACCTGAAAAAGTTTGATATTCTGACTTTAGATTCTTCACACATCTTTAGGAGTTCCAAATATTACTTTATAAAATTTACTTCAGCCAGATATGACAGTTAACAGAAGCTGAAAATTCTTAAAGTCTAAACAGTAGGACAATAGAATTACATGCAGACATTTTCAGTTATCTTCTACCACTACTTGAAAGATTTTTGGAAAGTTTAATAAGTTTTAATTACAAACACTTTATACAAGTAGCTAGCAAATCAAATTTTAAATTATAATCTGCATTTGATTTTCATGCAAGAAATTATCAAAAACGGATGAAATTAGCATCATTGAACTGACCAAATATAAACGAAAAAAAAACTTGACAGCTGTGTAAACCTATTTTTAGATTTAGAAACAACAGCTAAGGGAAGAAATTGTATAAAACATGGAAAAACATTAAGAACCTAATATAATTTTCTGTTTGGAGCGAATGTCGAATTAAATGAGTAAAGTTTAAACCTCCAACAAATAAAAATGTATAAAAAACATTCCAATTTATCAAAAATAGAAACTTTTTCCCCTATTAAGCAGTGAATAATTAGTAGTAATTGTAATTAGAAAATTCGTTACACAAGCAAATAAACACGGTGTTTCATAAGTACAGAGCAAAACAATTTAATGAGTAAATCGAAAAGATTCAAGAAAGAAAGAAAAAAATTTAAATTTTGGTGGATGATGCCATAGTTCATTAAACAACGGTAACAACTTACCGTAATGTAAAAATTATACTTATCACATTATAGGGAACAGCAGCAAATGATAAATAAATACCTAGAATTTCAATGGTCCCTTTTTAAAAGTACACAATGTTTTGAAGTGTCGTTCGATGACGTCATCGAGTCTCCATGTTGTTTACGTTAACCTCCACCTCCCGACTCGCACCAGCCGGAGTTTAATTTATTGAGGATTAAATTCGATCGATTAGATTACAAATCTAATTTTCTTCTTATGTTCTTTATATCTATATGAATGTGACATTATCAATGATATGACCCATAAATATTTTATAATACAGCAGTATCCAATTTAATCGTTAACAAAGGAAATTGAAAATGTTTTATTTACTTCAAATATTTTGAAATTTAATTAATGTATATAAATATTCAATTTTATTCTGATAATCTGCTTGTTTATCCAACAAAAACTTTTCTGGAAATCAACTAGAACTTCCTAATTCAGTAAAATATTGAATTAGGAAATGTCAGTACTTTCCAATTATTTTAGTTATAAATTTAACTTTTGAAAACTTTAAAACGCATTATAATTAAAATATTTCTATTAAAACGCATTATAATGCGTTTTAATGGAAAGATTCTACTGTTTATATGACGGATAAGTTAAAAGTTTTTAATCTAATTTTAAGTAAATAAAAAATCTCTCCCCCATGCAAATTTACACATTTATAGAAAGTTAGAGTAATATTATACACGATAATTCGCTTACAGAAGCCAAGAAAGATGCGGAAAACTCGGTATAGGTCAAGGTTCAATACGGTAAACTTATCCAACGTTAATCGGTATATTACAGTAGTAAATAACTAATTTAACTACAGCATTTGGAATGAGCATTAATAAATTTCAGTTTGTTGACACCAGAATAAGATATTCTTATTTTAAATAATTTATTGTTCAAATAATCGATTAACGCACACAAGGACGGCTATTCTCGAATTCACATTATATAGATGAATCTGTAGAATGACAATTATCTAATTATAATTTAATCACGATTACTTGTTTGCATTTCGAATTTCTATATTTTAAATATTTTTCATAATTTCCGAATTATACAGTATTTTTTTAAACTACAATTTATAGAATGAGGGGTGAAATTATATTCAAAATGATTTTAGATGTAGAACTTAGTTGTTAACAGGGACGGTCGATTGGTTATTCGGTGACGTAAACAGCAGAAAACGTTTGATAACTTCAATGACCGTGGGTTCTACTCCCTCCCTAAGTTTACTGTAAATATCCAGTTTCGGTGCGTGATGCTGCATTCGCAAGTTGCATTTATTTGTCTTATTCTTTGAATACCGTCTTTACTTGAATAATGGGAAGAAATAGAGCAAAAAATAATTATTCTAAACTAATATATTGTAAACGTATATCATGCTTTAAGATATTTGAAAAAATAAGCTATACTATCATCAACGTATGCAGTAAATAATCATAGAAGTAAGGTTTCATTTTATTATTTTTTTAATCAGAATTTACGGCAAATTTTTTTTTTTAAATCTTATGAATTATTCGAGATAAAGCAATATATATATATTTTTTATACATTAAAATTCTAGTTGATTTCGGAAAAAGAATGAAGTATATTTGTTTTTTCCAAAACTATTGAATGAATATTATAATTAATGACTAACATTAAAACAATGATTACTTAAACCTTATTTCTTGGTAACTATGAAAGTAAAATACTAAAAATAAACTTTTGGATTATGTCCAGAAACAATCAACAAATTTTTTGTCAAATATAATAATTGACAAAAAATTTGTTTGTTGATTGCTTCTGGACATAATCCAAAAATTTATTTTTAGTATTTTACTTTCATAGTTAAGTTTCAACAATTACAATTAGTGAAAAATGAAAAGCAATTTTTGAATTAGATGATGATCTCATACTACTTTTTGCACAATATTCAGTCATAGTTGACTGAATATTGTGCCATAGTTGGCAGAAAATTGGATTGAATTGATTACATGTGGCACTATTACAATAGAATATATGATCAGATTCAGTTTTGTTATTGTGATTAGGTACGATCAACAACTGATCCAGATAACACACACAGAATATAAATGCATTAAACCTGAACTGCTTGTAGAAAAGTACAAAAATCAAACCTGAATTCCTCAGTATAGGAATAACTTTCTCATGGTAATTCAGCCAAATATCCTATGAATGATATTGACACTTTATGAACAAGGTTATAGTTGATTATTAATGTATGCAGCATATTTATTGCCCTATACATATAACTTGCAAAATGAGAATTAATTTTGATGGTAATTGCCCAAATGAAATTATTTAGGTAATAACAGCATTATATGCTTTGGAAAGATAAGTTGCCCAGGAAGGATCTTTATTATTTCAAAAATATAGTATATTGGAACTATATATCATCATCAATCAGGTTGCTGGTTAATATGCTTTAATTCAATTTCTTTTAATTACACAGTTTACCCACAGTGCATGTAGAGGGCACTATTTGTTTAATGATTAAAACATTTGAAAATGGCCGCTAAAAAGGGTACAATGCATCTGTAGTTTGTGGAGATGAAAATGATTCAAATGGAAAGAAACTCAAAAAGAACAGTCAAGTATGTAGAGTTATGGTTGCTCATAACATCTCAGATATGGTTAAGACAATCAGGGAAGCATTTGCAAGAAACCCTCATACCCATCCAGCAATGCTTTATGCAATTTACAAGATTGATTTAGTAGCTGATGTCATACACAAAAGGCTAAGATTACATGCATACAAATTTAGGTTTACAAACTGCTACAACCCAATAACTTACCATTTGCATTTGATAGACAAATACAGTGTGTTCTAGTGGTGAGCTATTTGGTACTATGAAAAGTTAACTAAACCATAATAATTTACAAATATAAAAGTTCAGAAAACACAATGAGAAATATGAACAGATTTATGCTAGCTAAAAATCTGAATATTTAGTGAGTTACTTCATAATACTGTAATTAGGTCTTTTCATAGAATTGGCTATCAATGCTATTGCATACCAGGACATGAAGGTTATGCCATTTCTCTGCTGCAGTACCTTCAGCTGACAAACTATTTTATAAACAAAAACATAGCTCCCTCTACATTAGGATGTGATGTTTCAGATGCAGTGTTTTTTCATTGCTGGATTAAATATGATTGTTCTTAATTTCTCCTCTCCCTCAACAAAATTCCATTGGATTTTATGAGGTTACATAAATGACTATTTATTGCATATCCATCCCAAACATTGATATTCTAAATGCCTAAATATAAGGGTGGGTCAACTGCTGTTGAAATTTCAGTAATGATAATGGAACTGTATGTAATTGAGGCTCTGGACAGGTCCGAACCCTCACTAAAATTTGTGTTAAAATAATTGTTTTAGAGAAAAAAATATAGTAGTTAGAAATAGATTTTTATTTTATGAAAACGCGACACTAACTTTTAAACAATAGAAGAATGTAAGTCCGTCAACCATTTCCGGTTGGAGATCAAATTAAACTTCAACTTTGACCTCTCCTGCACCCCGAAAGGTTTCGAATTGTCATCAGGTGACGAGAGAGACCAATCGGAAAGAGGAATCTGAGAGAAAACGGACAAAACCCTGGAAATTCAAGGACGCAACGGCTTCTTCTCCTGAAAGTTCCAAGTGACGGATCTGTTCTTGTGTGTGTCTCGCACCCATCTTCGTCTCCATCTCCCAACCTCAGATTGACATCTTTCCATCAACGGAAGTCGACCGCATTGTCCCAGAGCCGTCGAGACATGATGGAATGGTTCATTCGCAAACAAGGGACACTCCTTCAAAATGGGACTATCTTGGAAAGGAGAGGAAGACCCAGAGGCCGCAGCCGCCGCAGAACTTCCAAGATCACGGAAATCTTGTAAGCTTCTTTCGTGTTTAATAAACGGTTGTGTTGTTTGTAAACGAAGCATCTATCTCTGACTCAACTGCTTCCACATGTCGTTGATTGTTACCGCTCGGCAATCCAAATGGCAAGGGAGACGACGACAATATACATCACATATTATCGTTCGAGTTTTTTTTATTTCTCCCCCCCTCAGCCCCCACATAACATTGTCCCTTTATTATTTATTGTTTTTCTCTATGTATTTCTTTCCATACACTGACACTTCTCACATTGTTTTGATAATGATATGTTACTCTGCAGAGTAATATTTTGTCTGGTGGAGCATGGTGCTGCACATAAAGGATGCAATCAACAGACTTGGTTAGAAAATTTCAATCACCTGTCACACTAGACAAGACTTATGGCCTCAGCAGTGAAAAAAAAAATCTGGACTGTCTACAAGATTGCTCTGGAGTGCATAATCTGCTACACCTGTGAAGTATGATGGAAGGAGCCCACCAACATCAAACAAAGCAGTTCTACAGGTTATGGAGCACAGTTATCTACAGATGCAGCACTGATCTTGGCTAGACTATCATTAGCCTTTGTAGTCAACCAGGAGACAGTTTTCTACAAAACAATGGAGGGTAAAGATGCAAAGCAGATGTACCTGATTATGCTCAGATAATGATCAGACTTACTGAGCATTCATACTGCCAACTGGATCAGGCTCAACTGGGATGTTGGTGAACCAACACTTACTGATGTTGAAATCTACACCATCAGTGTAGATTTACACTGGCAAGTAGGCACTCAAAAAAAGGCAACTGCCAATTGTCATACTGTGAATACTTGGATAGTATTTTACTGTATAGTTCAGGGGTGGGCAAGCAAGAGTACAGTGGGAGCCGAAATGTAGGTTTTGCAAAATGCACGGGAGCCACAGTTCTGTACTTTTTTATTCTGCACTGCAGTTCTGTATTGCGATTTTATTATATAATATAAATCTAAATTAGTGTTGCAACGAATAGTATATTCGGCCTCAAACCGAATACTCGGCCAGGAGCGTGGCCGAATATTCGGCCAAACTATTCGACTCGATTAACGCACGTACGAAAATTGGTGCACAAACCGCATTATGGCAAGG